GGAAAACGACTGCCTGGCGACAGTGACACACGCGTTGCTAACTTCCCGATTAGATTTCTGTAACATGCTCTATGTGGGGCTACCCTTGAAGATGGTCTGGATACTTCAGTTGGTGCAGAATAGAGCTGCCAGGCTGCTGATGGGGACTGGGCGCTGTTTTCATATAACCCCAGTTCTCCGTCAGCTCCACTGGCTCCCGATTGAAGTCCGGGCCCAATTCAAGGTGTTGGTTATGACCTATAAAGCCCTCAACGGCTTGGGACCTGGATATCTAAAGGAACGCTTGCGTCCACATATGTCCTCCCACCCCTTGAGATCAGCAACAGAGGCCCTTCTCCAGGAACCCTCTGTGAATATTAGGAGGGTGAGTACCCGGAGGAGGGCTCTCTCTGTGGTGGCGCCCCATCTATGGAATGCACTCCCGAGAGAGGTCCGCCTGGCGCTGTCGTTATTTCTTTTTCGGTGCCAGGCTAAGACCTTTTTATTTAAAACTTATTTTAATTGTTAATTTTTGGTATTTATAGGATTTTAGATCTTTTAAGCTGAGATGCACCGGGTTTTAATATTTTTGTTGTATAATTGTTACATTTGTATGTTTTGTTTTTGTTGTGAGCCGCCCCGAGGCTTTGTTGTGATGGGGGCGGCATAAAAAAGTTTTAAATAAATAAATAAATAAATAAATAATTTGGATAGCACAGCACTAGCATTTTTGAATAAAATTTCTAAAGTAGACTGGCAAAAAACTATTCTTGCTAGCCAACACCAGGTTCAGTTTTAAAGGGATACCTATATTTACAACAATATTTCCAGGGTTAAACTTGGAAAGAGGCTTTCATTTCCAAATTGTGCTTATAGCTTCTAATTTCTTTGGGATTTCTTTGATTCAGCAGCCTATGAACCTAGAACCCACTTTTTGAAGGACTTTCTGAAAACCAGAGCTGGCAGTCTCCTGCAGACAGTCTTTGTCATATACTTACAGACTATAGTAAATTTATTATTATAATTGCATTAAATGTATACCCCACCTTTCTTTTCCTTGCAAGGAACCAAGCAGGCTTATAAGGTTTTTCTCTTTACAACATCAGTAAGTTACGTTGAGAGGATGTGACTGGCCTAAAATTACTCAGTGACCTTCAGGGCTGAATGGGAATTAGAACCCACATCTCCTGAGTCCAACACTCTAACTACATCACACTGCCTTTTATTACAATGAAGGTAATATATCTTGCAAGAGCAGTCCATAAACCCTCCATTTTTAAAAAATGACATCTGCTGTGATTTGCCTAGCAGATTATTTATTTAATTTTTTTTCTATGCTGTCCATTACTAAAAAAAAGTCTCTGGATGGCTTACAAAGTTGCACAAATTTGTTCAGGTTGCTCGATATGGCATATTTTTGTTATATGATACTACTTATTTTTAGTGCCAGTTTTTAACCAATTTGCTCGCTTTAATGTTTATGGTTATTCTGTTCCACTGATTACTGCCCTTTGCATTCTTCTTGTACAGTTTGCTGGATTTTGGTTTTAAGCCATATTGTAACTTGAATTTCTAATGGCCTTTGTGCTATATAGAAATAATAACTAACAAGCAAACACTTAACTGTACAATTATTCATTTACAAATACGGTTGTGAACTGAAATTGAAAAGGGAGAGCAGGGTTTGATTTCAATGCTAATATTTATTTATTTATTTAAACAATTTCTATGCTGCCCCATTCGCAAAAAGCCTTGGGGTGGCTTACAACATAAACAAACAATTATATAATTAGCCTTAAAAATCCAGAAACTTCTCGACATGTACATCAAAACCCAATAAATACAATCAATAAATTAACAATTAAAATAACTTTTAAATAAAAAGGTCTTGGCCTGGTGCCAAAAAACAAATAACGACGGTGCCAGGCGGATCTCTCTGGGAGCGCATTCCATAAGTGTAGGTTCTAATAGGCTGGTTCTCCAGCTAGAATCCTTCTAAACACAATATGGACAGCTGGATATCTCCTCATTTAGGCAGACTTTCCATCTGTGCCCCATCACATACAAATGCACCATATTGCCAGCGAGTTCTCATACAACACTAGCACAGCAATGGTACACTTGCCAAGATCAGCTGGTGCTTGTGTCGGAGGGTTAACTGGCAAATGGGCAAGCAGGCACATGTAACGAAAGCATGTAAATGGAACGGGGGGTACTTCCAGGGGATCTTCAGGACATCATCTTCCACTCTTAACTCCCCCATGCTGCTCCACAAATTCTTCCATCTTTTCTCTTACTACAGAAAATCTTTTAAGGAGAAAAAGACAGTAGTTGCACAATGACTTCTAATTAGTAGTGCTAGGAGCTACCTGTCTGGTAGTATTATGGATGCAAGACACAAGCCTTCTCTGTGTAAATCAGGCCGTAGGAAAACATTTCCATGTGGTGGCCAATGGTCACTATAAGTCCTTCCACATGGCCTTAACTGAGCTCTCCAAGTTTTAAGCAGGCCATCATCCTATTATTTTCCTTTCTGTGTGCAATTATTTAGTTTCTTTTTCAAAAAGGGTGAAATGACACAAAAATTTGGGAAAAGAGCCTTTTCTACAGTACACACTATTCTTGTGCCAAAAACCACAATAAATTAACCTACTGATACACCATTATCACTATCCCATACTGCTTCCTTCAAGGGATGTTCTGAAGATGGCAACAAGGGAGAAGTGATGATGGCCCCTCTTCATTGTGAAATGCTCTCTCCAGTGTGGTCCACCTGGTCTATCCCTGTCACCAATTCAGCACCAATTTCCTCTTTGCCCATGATAATACTTTTTAAGGGATTCTTGGATTTTTATTATTGTTTAAATTTGTTTTTACAGCTTTGTACATTCACAATTTTATATTATCACATTATATTGCATTTTATGCTTCTAATCATTGAAAACCATGAAGTGAGATTTGGCTATTCGTCATAATGAAACCTAAGACCATGCTGAATCAGGCCAAAGCCTTATCTAATCCAGTATGGTTCTCATACTGGCCAACCACATACATATGGAAAGCCCACAAGCAGGACATGAATGCAATAGCACCCTTCCACTTTCGGTAACTAATCGCTTAAGGTATCTTTGTTGTATGAGTGGTTCAGTGCAGCTATTTGCAGTTGTGTCCTGTCTGGAGGAATATTTGGTCATGCATGAACTGCTCCGTTTAGTCAAATGGTGCAGCATTTACAATGACACATTTGTGCTAGAAATCCCCTTAAAACAGGAACTCACGAATCATTCTTTCATCTGCCATTTCAGTCAACAGACTGCAAATAAAATAAGTGGGCGGTAGAGGTGGCTGGATAAGGTCACAGTAAGGGAAAGGAGATGCAAAGGAACTGACCAAGGGTCTATTTGGTCGAGCATTCTGTTCACACAGTAGCCAACCAGATGCACACAGGAATCCTACAAGCAGGACACAGGGCATTCCCACCTTCCCGCTCTCCACTGAGTATGCACATAGGCAGAGCGCCTGATACTGGAGGTCAGCTGGAGCTCTCAGGCTTAGGAGCCACCGATAGTCTTAACCTGCCTGATTTTGTGCACCATCAACAACTAAACTGGGCCTTATCATTGCAGATCGTGGTAGCGAAATCCATAGTTTAAGTGTGTGCTGTGCGAGGAGTGCTTTGCTTGTCTTTCCCGAATATCTGCTGCTAACTCTCCCGAGGCGATCCGTTTGGATTTAGGTATTATGGCGAACTCACTCCGGACGGGGCCTCATTTGGGACACCGCTATCCTTACTCGCCTCTCCATACTCGCCTTTGGTCGAGGCTGAACAGCCCAAGAGCTAAAACAGGGCCAGTGCTAAGGTGCTGCAAGTCTTGCCCGCGTGTGCACTTGCCGGTAGCAGACTTCGCAGGGCTACCCCTGCGAAAATTGTCCCGCCACATTTTATATTGTCCTTGCAGATACCTTCGCCAACCAGCGCTCTAAACGCCAGAAGACTCCTGCCGGGCATTGCCGCTTAAAAGAGCTCCGACCGTTCAGGTGCTACTGAACTCAGTCAAGCCCAGTCAAGACAGAGCAACTTTTCATCCGCTTCAACCAATGAGAACAGGGCAACGCACAGACGGCTTCTTCTCCCGCTCCGTCAATGAGATTGCTCCGCCCACAAGTCTCAAAAGTATCGCCTCAAGAGCCAACTGTATTTTCAATACTGAATGAGCAGATGCGGTGTCTTCTTTCTTATCTCTATCATCTTCGTGACACTTCCACCTATAGACTTTTGAATTAGACTGACACATACTCCTTGACTTCCGGGTTGTTTTCAGACCCCGGTTTGTTTCTTCCTCTGAAACAGGAAACAACGGAGAAAAGGTTTTTCTCGTATGCCTATGCATGTTTACTGAGATGATTCAAGTAGCGGCCGTGTTGGCTCTTTCCCAAACAAAAAGTAGCAGTAAGAGCAAGTCATAGTCTAACGTTGGGTTTAGCTTGGAAGGTGGTTTGAATTCAAGGTTGCGGAATTTTGCTGCAGTTTGAGACGTGTTTTCACATTCACACTCTCTGTCAGCCCTACCTTTTACAATACCTTACATATGGACTATATTGCAGGGCTGTTATGAGGAATCCAGCCATTGTTCCTTCATCTCGTCTTATTGCCTGGTACTGGCAGACCCATTTAAGAATATTTAAAAAGAATGTTTCGTATATGAAACAAGATTCAGATTAGAAAAGGAACGTCGTGTTTGCCGCGTGTGTTTTTGCTACCTTTTGTACGTGTGTTCCAGGAGACAAAGTTACAGCGAGGCTAAAATCCTGAAGTTTTCCATGCTTTACTAGCAATTCTCAATTTGGCTCTGACAATACGGAAAGGTGGGGGCTGGGAATAGGGATCTAAAGCGGCCGGGAAGTGCACACTTCCAAGCATGGAATGAGCAATTCTACCCTTTCCTAGCTCTATAGCACTATTACCGTGCTCGAGCCTCGCAAAAGTCCCGCCTCCTGTCATGTCCTCGTCCCGTCCCGCCGCGGCGCCGCGCGAATGAGGCAGCCCGCGCGAGGCGGGGCCGCTTGGAGTGGCCGCCGTGCGCTTAGCTGAGCGAGGGCAGAAGAGGCAGTCGCGAGTGAGTGGGGGAGGGGGAGAGGCGTCCCTCTGCCCCGCAGCGGGCTCCGTCCACCATGAGCTTCCTGATCGATTCCAGCATCATGGTCGTCTCTCAGGTAATGAGCTCCCGCCGCGTCCCTGAGCACTCGCCGAGCCTCCACCCACAACGTCCTGGGACAGAGGGGCCCCAGGCAGGGCTGCCGTTTCTTCCATCCTCGAGCCTCTCGAGCTGGGTTGACCTGCGCGCAGAACCAGGCTGAGTGGGCAGGATGGACTATACCACTTCCTGTTTCGTTGGCGTATTGGGATGTGCCAAATGGGCAGGGGGAAATCACATTTTTCCAACATTTTCCATAACGTGCCAACCTTTCTCCACATCCCACAGCATGGAAACTCGTACACACGAAGCAAATAGACACTGTTTCCCTGATATGTTAGTTTTCTGCTTATAGGAGTTTTTAGCTGGAAGAGCATCCAGAAATAGCTTTAGCTGCAGTTTAAAGTGGTGTGCTCCATTCTGCCAACTTTTTTCTTTACATTTGTAGACAAGGCATTTGTCAGCTTTAGCTAGAAGAGTTATGAGATGGACAATGTGGCACCCGACTTGAAATCTGGCAAGCCTTTTTGCTGTCAAGGCACAATCTTTTGCTGCCTCCTCAATGTATTATTAGTTTATAATTTTATGTAAACCTTAGATTGATGAAGTTAATGTTTATCCATGGTTGTAAAAAAGCTGTTAATATGGGCCTGATTGATTAAAAATGAATGCATTTGCATTCAACGTTTGCATTCCTGATGCAGGGATATCAAAATCCATTATAAGTGCTACTTACAGTTTAGGATGCAGGGAGAAATGATGTGGGATGTTGCTGGACATACCCAATATTTTCTACAATATTCTACAATATTTTTATTACTTGGGAGAAGAGATGGGACAAATATTTATTAGATTTGCAGATGATACAACATTAGGTGGGAAACCTTAGCAGACAGAAACAAAATTCATATAGACCTTGATAGGTTAGAGGACTATACAGAAATGATATGAAAGAGACAAGTCAAAGTTCTTCATTCAGTAAAGATATGACATGCCTAAGTCAAAGATGGGGGATACCTGGTTTGACAGTGTGAAAAAGATCTTGGAGTTGTAGTTCATGACAAGTGGAATATGAATCAGCAGGGTCATGTGGCTCCAGAAAAGGCAAATGCAATTGGGTGACTTTGTGCTAGTCACAGAGTCACAGCCTTATTTACTTTTTAGGGGATTGTTGTTGTAAGGATAAAAATGGAGTGAGGGAGAATGGTGTAAGCTGTCTTGGGTTACTTGCAAGAGGAAAAAATGCAGGATATAAATGAAATGTAATAACTTTTTTCCAACATATCAACTATATTAACTTAGAAACAGAAACAAAGTGAGTCAGGAAGGGTCTCCTGGGCCATTTTGTCTGACCCCTGGCTCCAGCTGACTGCACTCACGTAATCTCCAACATGTGGTTGTCTTTCCTTGAACACCCTCACTGATGGGGTCTCACCTCCATTGGAAGCCCATTCTATATCCTAGGGGTCCTAACCATCAGTAAGTATTTCCTGACATCCAACCTGAAGCCTGGTTCCTTGAGCTTTGTCCCATTGGAATGCATCCTGCCCTCCACTGCAGAAAAGAACAAGTCATGGTCCTCTTCTACATGACGTCCCCTCATATACCTATAAGTCACTAACATACCTATAAGTCACTATAGCAACTTATTAGCAACATTATTTTTATATACATGAAGAAGTTTTGAGATGTCATAATTTTGCAGATGGATTTTTAACCATTACCTTTCTTTTTCTTGGTTTCTGCAGGTGCTTTTCTTTGGATTCGGATGGCTATTTTTCATGCGTCGGCTTTTTAAAGACTATGAGGTAAAAGACAACTGGACCACTGTATCTAATTGCAACTTTGTTATGATCTGAAAGAAAAGCAATCAGTGAGGAATGCATAATAGGAATTAAAATAACATGTCTAGGGGCTGCTGTAGTATAAGCCTCAGTGAAAACAGTGAGATGCATGTGCAAGCAAAAAAAAAAAGTTGGTAGCACCAAGTTATATTCACTGTTCCTAAAAAAAAAAAATCCGAATGTGTCTTCAGTTCTGTGGAGCACCAATTGGGTCATCTTTAGCTTGCAACGTGGTCTGCATGGGTGGAGGCAGTGACTTTAGGCATTAAAAATGTTCCTCATTGTGAAGTTGCCTGTCCAAATGTAGATGGTATTTTAGAAAAATCTGTATATTCAGTTATAGTTCCCATTTTGTTTTAAAATCTACACTTAACCTCTTCTTTCCTCACAAGTATGAATGTCTAATACTCTGCTTATTGGATCTGACCTTTGTTTCTTCTTTATTTGCTTTATTGAAGGTGCGGCAGTATGTTGTACAGGTTGTCTTCTCAGTCACCTTTGCTTTCTCCTGCACCATGTTTGAACTTATCATTTTTGAGATTCTAGGGGTCCTAAGCAGCAGGTAAGCAGAGCAGCCACTCTTGAGATGCTTTAGATAGGACTTCAACCTTAGTTCATCGGCTCATTGCTTGTAATGAGCTTGATTGTATTTTGTAAGTCTCAGTTTGTTTAGTTGTAATTTACTGTTTATGTGCAACAGATATGATACTGATGCGGATGATGCTGAAGCTGAACTGTATAGAAACTGGTTGCAGGGCTGTTTTTTGGAAGTATTTTTTTGCTAATAGAGTTTGTTGCTAATATTTGGCAATGTTTCCACCAACAAATGAGATGCTGAAGAAATTGCAATATGTTCTGAGGATATTTGTATCTTGCAGATCCAGTTGTCTGATCTAAAATTACAAAAAATTCCAAATTTTTCTGCATCTGCTGTTCCCAAGCAATAGATACCCAGCTAATACCAACATGTTTATGCCACTTTTATTACTTTAGTTTGAGTAAGTCACCCAGTTTGCCCTTCATAACTTATCTGTCATTTTTTAAGGCTGCAGTCTTATGTATCTTAAGCACAAAAAAGTCCCACAGGTCTCAGCATTACATGGCCAGCCACATGTTGAAGGAACCCCATCCATGTATTCTGTTTAAACATGCATAAAATTGTACCCTAAATTATCTTTGCACACTAATAAGTACTTTTATACTTCTTAAGTGGATTGATGAAAACCTAACTACTGCATGCATTATTTGTTTGGAAGCAGAAGCAAAACAAACAAAAACAAAAACACTGCTGATTTAAATGATAAAAATGTATCAATACCTTCAATTGCACTTATAAAAAAACATAATTATGCTACTTTATTATTTAAAAATATTTCCAAGGTCAAGAAATCAAATGCACCTTCTAAATAGTTGGATAGTGCTAGCACACTGAACATTGTGGCAGCAAAATTCATATTCTGTGTGAGTATTCTTAGTTATGCCCTCTCCTCATATTATTGCAAATTTACATTATGTTTGGAACACCCTTAGATGACTTTATGCTAATATTATTTATCTATCGGATAAAGTAAAATGGGATAGATTAAGAAAAAATACTTTTAGGATTGGTATTTAACTTTTCTCTTCTTATTTTCAGCTCTCGATATTTTCACTGGAAATTGAACCTCTGTGTGATTTTGCTTGTCCTAGTGTTCATGGTGCCCTTTTACATTGGCTACTTTGTTGTGAGCAACATCCAGTTGTGTAAGTATGCATACAATTTGAACAATTACATTGACACAAGTACTTTGCATCCCAAGCCAAAATAGCATTTTCCATTCCTAGTAAAATACATAATGTTCTTAATTATTCTTGATTTTCTTTATTATTAATTTTTAGTGCACAGACACAGACTGCTTTTTGCCTGTGTCGTCTGGTTAATATTTATGTATTTCTTCTGGAAACTGGGAGATCCATTTCCTATCCTCAGTCCAAAACATGGTGAGTGTCGTATCATTTTTCGATTTATTAGTGAATACTAAGTCTCAGAAAAAAGACACTGTACATAAAACATCAGAGTATTTATTCTTGATCTGTGGGTAGAAAAGAGAGTCATGTTTAATGTTGTTATGGTTAAGTCAAGATGTTAAAAATAATGCATGAATTCTATTCAGAATCCTTGTATAATATATACCATATTTTTCGCTCTATAAGACTCGCCTGACCATAAGACGCACCTAGTTTTTAGAGGAGGAAAACAAGAAAAAAAATATTCTGAATCAAATGGGCACATAATCACAGGCACATTCCTCACCACTTCCCCATGGGCTGCACATCTGACAGACATACTGCACACACATATTTGCTCTATAAGACGCACAGACACTTCCCCTTACTTTTGAGGGGGAAAAAAGTGCGTCTTATAGAGCAAAAAATACGTTACTTAAAAGTAAGCCTCATTGTGTTCAATGAGTTTGCTCCCCCTCAAATTGTATTCAGATTGTAACCTCAGAAAATCTAGCATTTTGATGAGCAGGTTTGTGCTGCAAGAATCTGTATTAGCACTATGATGTTCTAGGATTGCACTTCACTTGCACTGAAGCTCTAGGATTGCACATGCTTGTTTGTAAAGCGCTAGTTATAATTCTGAATTCTTGAATGGTAAACCTTTTAATAGACAATTATAAATTCAGAGTGATTCTGTCTAAAGTACCAATTTGTAATATTGCGTATTAAAACTGTGGTTTGCTTAGAGTTTGCTTTGCCTTGCTTACACACCATCATACTTCCCTGCTTGATGGATACTATATGTTTGAGTGCTTGAAAAATTTCCCAATAAAACATGGCTCTTTGTCTTTCTTTCCCTTTCTTTCCCTTTCTTTCCCTCTCCTTTCCTTTCCTTTTGCTTTGATGTAGCTGTATTGTATATTCCTAGGTAGACTGAGAGACAAGGGGGAGCATTAACTAGGCAGTGGGTAGAAGATACTAGATTTGTATTTGTATTAGAAAGATGGCATAGATATATCTAAAAGAAAAATAAATAGCAAATGACTGCAATATAACTTTCAAATAAATGTTTCATGTTTAATGTGTTCTTCACAAATTTAATATTCCCATATTTCTGTACTCATTGCCAAGATATATACTGCTATGTATTGTTTAGCATGTTATTTCAGTTCTCATGAAGAGTATCTGCATCTTTTTAAAATGGAGCCTGTCAATGTTAAACAATCAAAGTTATATTCAAAGTTTAAAGCAAAATGTTTTATGCAGTTACAGTTATAGTAGTAAGTTATATCCTGTTTTTGTGTATTTTAAAGTACATAATGGTGAAATCACCTTTACCATTGGTGCTACTTTCCTTTTTTTGTCAGGCATTCTATCTATAGAACAGCTCATCAGTCGGGTGGGAGTCATCGGGGTGACACTTATGGCTCTGCTTTCTGGATTTGGTGCAGTCAATTGTCCATACACTTACATGTCTTACTTTCTCAGGTAAACTGAGTTTCCTGATTTATTTATTTTTGTCTATAGTCTCCTTTGGTTTTCCCTTTCTACACTTTCAGCACAATGCCCCAAATACTTCCTTAGAGTTGATAGTATCCCTGTTTGTAATGGGATATCCAGTTATTTTTATACTCTATAGTGTTTGTAGCTGTTTGGAACTTTATACTTTTGCTTCCTTCCTACAGCTGTAGAAATGGAAAAGGGGGCAAAAGATGCTGAAGATTGTGGAGGGAAGGGGCTAGGCTGGCCCTTACTGTACTGGTAATCAGAATTGGATCAATAGGTCTCTCCTTGTGTGCATCTTTTATAGGAATGTGACAGATGCAGATATTCAGGCTCTGGAACGTCGTCTTCTCCAAACCATGGACATGATCATTAGCAAGAAGAAAAGGTGAGGCAAACACAGTAGGATATCTTTTTACTTTTTTAGAATTGTCCATCAGGCAATTGATTGTCAGTGGACAAAATTTTTATTGCAGAGCATCAGGTATTTAAAGAGTTCAGGTTGCACAAATAATGAATGAGTTAGTCATTGAATAAAATAAGGGATCTAGTAAGGTTAGAACACTTAGCAAAGTCATATTTTGGTAGAAATTTTATTCTTTCATGTAGTGACATGGAAGGCTAATTGATATTCTATGTACTAAGATTGTATTCTTGATTATTTTTCCTCAATTTTAATAATTCTGAAGTCTGAACAAATGGGAATCTCAGCCTGGCAACTGTGGTACTTGAAAAAGTCACAGTGTGGAAGTAACTTAATTTTCTTTCTCTGTAAGAAAGCTATTTTTGGGTTTTCTTCCCCTACAAAATCCTCCCCTCCCCAGTGCAAATGAGTGACTGCCACAGCAAGGGGAACAATTCAGAGTAGCCCCCATGCTTCACCTGTTTCATGAGGATCTTCTTGGGTAGAACTGGTGGCATTGTGAATAGTACCTATCACGTTTGAGGTTAAAAAACAGCATCAACAACACAATTCTCTGTACAACTTGAGATTTTGTTAGAATTTAAATTAGTCAAAAACAAATTATTTGGATTGTGATTTGTTCTGAAAATTTTCTTTCCTAATTCAGATTTTATAAAGAACTGGTTAGTAGCAGATTCATGGAGGACTGACTTGAAAACTGGGCAAAAGAAAAGAACTATTTAGTAAAATATATTTTTGTAAAACAGTGCAGGGTATAGTCCTATGACAATGTTCAAAAGTTCCCAAACTTGGAGGCTTATGATCATCTGGTGCAGAGTGGAATGACTGGTAGAGTCAATATCTGCTTCTCTGTCATCCTGCCTTCATTTTCACTAGAAGGGCTTTTTTGTCCTTTCAGCCAGAATGTTTCAGGAGGTGGGAAAGAGGCTGGAGTGGCTTCAGGTCTCTGGGAGCTCATCTTCCCAACCTCAGGGAGCAGCCAACAGATTCTTTCCACACTGGCTGCAAAGGGGCAGGGAAGGAGGAACGGAACTCTGATTCCCAGCTCCAAGGATGGAGCGATGTCTCCATCTTTGGATCTGGAATCCACAATATCCTTTGGCTTCTCACACACTGTCTGTGGCGTGTAGGATTACTCCTGCAATAAATCTGATGGCTGAAATGAGTGTGTCTACCTAGAGGCAAAATCATAGGGTTCGATCTAGACTTGTTTCATTTCATTTTCATATATTTCGTTACCCCCTAGCCTAAGCTTTCTAGGCAGTTCACAAAAATAGAATTCAGAAATACAGTAAAATGCATTGGTAAATATAAGAACAATTTATAATAACTGAAAACAGTAACAATAAGATTCAAGTACATGATAAAAAACTGACATTACATGCCATCAAACCCCAGGGAGAAGAGGAAAGACTTAACTTGCTACCAGAAAGATAACAATGATGGCATAGTCAGACTTTGGTGGCAAGAGTGTTCCACAGTCAGGAGGCTATCACCAAGAAAGCCCTCTCCCTTGTTGTCACCCTCCAAGCTTCCCATGAAGGACAGCTTCAGATGTTGGTTATAGTGTCCAGATAGACTGATATGAGTTCACCATTGGGTTTTACAGTCCCAAGCAATGCAAGACTTTAAGGAGTTCTAACAAGCATCGTAAATATCAGAAACATACATGCAGCCCGGGCAAGTGGGCAGAATTGGTGTTTTGACCTGGTTTTTTATCCGTCCAGTTGCGCAGTTTGTACATGCTGCAGTTTCCCAACCTTCTTCAAGGACAGCAATTTGACCTAGAGGTTACTGGAGTGTAGACTACTAAAGCCAAGTTATTCCTTTCCTAATAGGGAAATGGATGGGTTACTAGCTGAAACTGGTGGAAGATACTCCATGAGCCTCAAGTTACAATGATAAATCTAGGTGAATCCCCAAGCTATGCACTTTCTCCTTCAGGAACAGTACAGCCCCACCCAGAACAGGATAAAAACCCTTCAGCTAGTCAGAAGAACCACCCATTAACAGCATCATAGTCTTGTCTGGATTGGGCTTCAGTTTATTAGTTCTCATCCAGTCCAATGTTGCAGCGCATCTACTTAGTCATTCTTAGAGTAGACCCACTGAAGTCACCAGAACTTAATGCAGTCCTGAGTCACAAAAATGTCATTATTACAATTAGTTTGGATCCAATCCATGATGATTGATTTTTCTCAGGAAATAGATGGTCAATACTTAGCACTTTTTCTGAGTTATATCAACATGAGCCTTAATCTGAACAAATGCTTGTCTTTTACATTTACTAAATAAACAGCTGATTTTGAAAAATGTAAATATTTAAACTCTTAATTTTGGCCATATTATGACTGTGTTACATTTTGTTTTGCTTATATTTTGTATCACTTTTTTAGCACTTGACTTTTCCTCCCAATCAGGATAGCAATGGTTCAGAGAAACATGTTCCAGAGAGGGGAAGTACACAATAAGCCTACTGGTTTCTGGGGGATGATAAAAAGTGTCACAGCATCTTCATCAGGCAGCGAAAGTATCCTTGTTTCCTTGCGCTCTTCTTTATGGAATTGGAAAGCAGGGTGGGGGTGGGTGGAGGGCAGCAACATGCAGAGTCCAATCATCCACAGTGTGAATGACGGGTGATACTGAATCTCTTACCTTCAACTCTTGAGGTTTATATGGCTTGGATGAAACAACATTCGCCAGCTCTGTTAGAGCTATACACTAGGGCTTGGTCTACTCTGACATTTATTCTCATGCCTACTTTTACATAAATGATCAATTCACACAAATGACAGTGTGTGTCTGGGTTCTGGGAGACATGGAAGTAGCAATGTAGCTTTGATAAATCAGCATCTTGTGATGTTAGCTTCCCTTTTAGGCATTGTTAATAACCAGTTGATTTCCTTACTATAGTAGGGGGCGGAATGCTGTGACAAATTATAGTTCAAAATGTTTTACGTTACTGTCTTTCTTACTTGTGTTTAAATGTTTTGGCTGTATTCCAGCACTATGCAGGACTGAGTGATTATTAGTAGGAGCTGAGTTAAGTTGAAACTTTGCTTCATGAGAACGTATGGATACTGCCACAGGAAGCAACATTTATTTTCCATACTATCTGTAAAATCCTGGGCAACTTGCCCTTAGGCAGTATCCAGTGTGACAATAGTGTTAACATAATTATGCTGCACTAGCATAAATGACCTCTGATGCTATATCCATCCCATGATGGAGGAACTTATTGAGCCAGCCAATGCTATTGGTATTGTGCCAGAGGTTGCTTATTTTATTTATTTATTTATTAAAACATTTTTATGCTGCCCCATTCGCTGAAGCCTCGGGGTGGCTTACAACAATAAATTAAAACATCATAAATAACATTTTAAAATATATACATTAAAATAAGATACAAATATACAATATAAAATAAGCCGCCCTGGCCCGATAAAATTCAATAATATTATCATTTAAAATGCTGCTTAAATAAAAAGGTCTTCGCCTGGCGCCGAAAAACAAATAACGACGGCGCCAGGCGGATCTCTCTGGGGAGTGCATTCCATAACTTAGGCGCCACCACTGAGAAAGCCCTCCTCCGAGTAACCACCCTCCTAACTTCTTTCATGGAGGGCTCCCGGAGAAGGGCCTCTCCCGCCGATCTCAGGGGGCGGCTGGGCATATATGGATGTAAGCGCTCCTTCAGGTAACCAGGACCCAAGCCGTTTAGGGCTTTATAGGTCATCACCAACACCTTATGCTAGTGCAATGTAATTTATGTTAGGTCTTGCATTGTGCCGAATAGCGTTTCAAGTCCAAGCATAAAGACGCCATGTTTTCCTGTCCCCTCTGCTAGAAGCAGTCAATGGAATGAGGTTGGAAAATACACAGTACCATGATTTTAAGAGAGAGGGTATGCTTTCTTTCTCTTGACAGAGATGATGTGTAGTTCCAGGACAAATCGGGTCGTGAATTGAGTATTTTTTAATGAAAAATTTCATAAAAATTTTGACTCAGGTCATGAACTCCACATTGGGTGGCAACTGCTATCATGCCTCCCCTTGAGTGGGGAGAGGGCCGTGATCATGCTGGGGTGGGGGGGGGAGATGGCCGAGAGCGTGCCCGTCTTTCCTGCACGAGCATGCCTGTGATTGCGCCCCTCTTTCCTGCAGGAGCACAACCGTGATCTCGGCCATCTCCCCCACCAGCACGATTGTGCCTGTCTCCTCCCCCGAGCACACCCGCGTTCGTGCCCATCTCTCCCCCCCCCCAGAGCAACGGGATGATGGGTGTGTTCAGGGATGAGGGACACATTTGCGGTCGTGCTGGGGGGGGTGGGGAGATGGCCGTGCTTGTGCTCAGGGTGGGGGGATGGCAGTGATCTTTGTTGTTCTTTGTCACTTTGCTTTACATTTTTCTGATTAAAAAAATAGTTACAGAACGGATTAACTTTATTTACATTGAACCTTATGGGGAAATTTAACTTGGCTCACAACCAACTTGGCTCACAACCAGAGTCCAGGAATGGATTAAGCTCGTGAGCCAAGGTACCACTGTACTAAATTATATTATTCAATTTACATATTCCATTGTAATCCTGCAGATGGCAGTGATGTTTAGTTTCTAAGTTGCAGTAGTTTCTTTGCAACAGAGAGCCAGTACAAACTCAGTACTTAGTATTCAGGCTTTTTTATATGTTTCAGCTGTTCAGAGTTCAAACATCTCAAAAGCCTCATTATGCTGTGGGCCAAAGAATGACAGGAAGCTTAATATGTTCTTCAGATAATGTTATACTTGATTTTGTCCTTGACAACCTTGCCAGATCTGGCACTTATCCAGCAGGAAGTGGATGCTTTGGAGGAGCTGAGTCGGCAGCTTTTCTTGGAAACAGCTGACCTGCATGCTACCAAGGTGCAGGCTAAGGGGATTTTTCTCATGCCTGATGGGTGGGTAAAAGGATCCACTAAGCAGGAGAAAAAAAATAGAAGAAATGTTGAATCATCTGACAGGTGAAGGCAGTACAGGAACTAGGTTTCATGCATATGATCTGATATTTCTTAAAAGAGTATTTTTCCCTTTAGGTTCATGTACACTAGATGGGAGAGTTATCCCAGGATAGATTTTGTTGATTTCCAGAAAGCCTTCATCAGGCAGTGAATATGTGTGTCTTACAAAAATTAATGTTATTATAGACTGAAACTGTTAACAGAAAGACATAGCATGCTTTAGTCACTTAAAGGAAATAATAGAAGATTTGGTTTGTTCTCTTTTTATGTAATTTGAACTTATATATTCTAGCCAAATTGATCAAGCAGTTCCTTAGATTCCTTCTATGTGAAGGGGCCAATATGCTTTATCAATGTCACATGTTCTGTATGAGATGTAAATTGTTTTATTGATGGGAAGAAAGGATCATGAATCAAAATATATTTTGAACCTCAAATATTTCCTCTCTATAGGAAAGAATCGAATACTCTAAAACATTCCAAGGAAAATACTTCAACTTTCTGGGCTATTTTTTCTCCATCTACTGTGTCTGGAAAATTTTTATGGTATGTAACACTGCTACTGGGGTGGTAATTTATATTTTGTACTCTGGAAAATGCTATATGAAGTAAAAAGGAAGCTTTTCACACCTCCCCTTGTAATATTTGTTTGCTTATTGTATTTATATCCTGCCTTTTTAATCCTCTTTAAAGTAACTGAAGGTGGTTTATGTAATCCTTCACTTCTTTGTAACCTCACAACAACCCTGTGAAGTAGATTAGGCAGAGAATCAGCAACTGGCCCAAAATCAGCCAGTGAACTTCAAGGCCAAGCGAGTACTAGAACCAGGACCTCCTAAGTGCTGTCATGCAACACTGACACTGTGTGACTACACTTACATTGGAATTCAATGTACTCTTAGAGAAACGTCCTACAACTCCCAACATGTTCTGTCCAGTCATGGTGGCTGGATCATGCTGGGAGTTGTAGGTCTTTTTGCTGTCTGAACATGTAGAAGATTGCACCCTCAATTGTTGATTTTGAATAATGTTGGTTTTCAGATGTGCGTGGATATCTTCTGTCTTTTAACCACACAAGATCACTGGGTGTGGGATAGCCTCTCTCCCAAGCTGAACAATTTACCATGAAAGAGGAAAGCCTGTACATCCTACCATGGTTCTAGTAAAGATGTCCTAAGTCGCATTGTGCCTCTTGTTTTCTCTTTCTCTTCAGGCAACAATTAATATTGTATTTGACCGAGTTGGGAAGACAGATCCAGTTACAAGAGGAATTGAGATAACTGTGAATTATTTGGGGATCCAGTTTGATGTGAGAATGGTTTTAAACTTCAACTTCCTGCAGTAATGCTCATTTATAAGTATTTTACTTTCCTCTGTTCAGAGCTTGATACTATGTAAGTTAATATTGCCTCCTAGTAGGGATTATGAACTTGTGCGGTTTAATGGCGCCTTCTTTTTATACTCGGGTAATGCGTAGTATTTCATTCATGTTTCTATAAAATTCTAAGTAGGCACTATTCAGACATTCTATTGTTCCTGTGGTCTGCAATCCTATAAGCACATACCTGAGAGTAATTCCCATAGCACTTAATAGGTCTTACTTTTGAATTAAAATGCATTGGATTGTGCTTCATGCCTTATAGCAGTCATACTAAATCTCAGGTTTGGATTCTTTTCTGAAATCATTATAAATGGAAGAAAGAATAACCTTTTGTCCCATCTTTTGGACAATGAATAATCTTTGATCTGTGCAGTCTTTATGAAGACCTAAAATGCTTCATTTCATATCTCTGGATTTTTGGACAAAGAACACAGAAGAAACTTCTGTTTTTTTTGTTTTTTTTTGTTTTTACATGTTAACCAGACAAGTTTTTCTTAGCTAATATCCTGGATAGGAACAAATTTAGAAATATTATCCATTGTTAAAATATATGGAACCCTATACATGCCATAGGTTAGGAAAAGTAGCATCAGGTCCCAGTGGTCAAGGAAGCTTACTTCAGCAAATGACACTTGTCCATATTATGAAAACAAAAGGGAGCACAAGGTTGTACAAAGGCATGTAAAAAAGACATGTAAAAAGCATATTGCTATCAAAAAAGGCCAACAATTAAAGAACTCTTTAAATAAATCAGAAGCAGAAAAACAGAGAGGCAGATGGGCCATTGTATGACAATGGAGTCAAAGGAGAACTAAAGGAGATTGTGGAGAAACTGAATGCATGTTTTAATTTGTCTTTAGATACAGGACAGATGTTTTTCAGAAAGGGAGTTTGAGGATTTTTCTGTTGTTGCATTCATTCTACGAAAGATAGAATTAACCTCAAAAGCCATAAGAGCAAAAATATAATTTTTTCACTAAGTTAAGAAGGAGGACCACTGATATATCACATGGTAAATCACACTTGTCATGGTTGGGGGCTGCCTGGAACATGCAGTTGTTGAAGAGTGACACACACATTTTATGATTTCTTTTAGTGTTAGAGCTGCATGTATCTGAAAGCTGTGTTCTTGTCTGCGCTTAGGTCAGAAGATGACTTTAGCTCCCATTTTCATTGCAATTAATGCATTAGCTTAGATTAAATGTTTATATGCCTGCATTCATTCTAAACATTTCAGTCTGAATCCAGTATTTCCTGTGTTCTATTATCTTGGCAAAATTTATGCTTGCAACTAAAATATGCTTTATGTGAAAGTATTCTTATACACTTTCAGAGGATACTGTGCACAGATAAAACAGCTGAAGTTAGGCAGGCTATCAAGTTCATATTTGACTGATACAGTTATGAGCAACTCTGCAGGCGTAATCATTTCTTGTCTGTATTACTGCAGGTGAAATTCTGGTCCCAGCATATTTCCTTTATTCTTGTTGGAATAATTATCGTCACCTCTATTAGGGGTTTATTGATAACACTCACAAAGGTAAGCCTGAGCACAATCCTATTTTCTGATTATAATCAAGCAGGGGAGAGTATAATTAGCCCTTTGGTAAGAATTTTAGAGGATGGTTGCACATTGCAAAAAACAAAACAAAACAAAACCCAACAAGGGAAGGCTACTAAAATCCATGTTATATAAATTATTATGTTTACAAAATGACACAGGGCAGTAGATATCCCCCTTTCATTTACCCTTCTGATTATAGTTATAACTTTATACTATAGATTCTAGCACCTTTGGTTTTAGCACCATGGACAATTCTGCTGTAATGGTTTTTGGACAAAAAAGTTGTTATTACCATGGAACAAACAGCAAATGTGCTGTCCATCGAGTGTTGCTGTTAGTCCTGTTCACCGGAAAACATCAGGAGTATCTCAGCGCAGAAACCAACATGACCACATCAGCAGAATGCCCTGTTGCACAAAGTTAGTTTATTGAATTTCTGTAGCTGGACCTACTAGACATTGATTATTTGCACAAGCAGTCCTAATCATTTGTTGAGTTACTGCATTCACATTGGGACAGTTGTTTGTGGGATCATGGACAGCTGTTTCCATGACTATAGCAGCATTTTTCCTAGCCACTGCAATTCCTCGAATTCTTTCCTGCTATACTCAAAGTAGCCTGGTTGTTTACTCGTAAGAAAGTATGAATACAATCCTGAATACAATCAGGACTGCTTGCATGTAGATCTATCTTTTGTACCAGCTTGCAGAAATGTAGCTTCTTGCATGTGATTCTAGGTGAATGTGAAAATCCTTGGAGAATATTATCAAAGTGGGAAAGAGGGAGCTTGTCAAAAATCACCCTAACTTCCTGCTTGCCCATTTTTAAAACTGGCAATACTAAATAAGTCGATAATGTAAGAAATCTACATTAAGAAATAGTAGCTTATAGTTCTTAAGCTACTATGATCATATTATGTATAAGGAACATGCCTTGAATGAAAATGTTGAATTATTCTCTGTCTAGTTTAGCCTTAGAGTGCAGTTCTGTGGACTCAAACATTAGCCTCCAAAATCAGATTCTCTTACCCAGTGGAGAGTAAGAGGAGCAGTGGAAGTGCTACCCACTTTGTATTTTCGGTATTCAACTCTTTTTGCCATCTATTAATGGCATTTTGCAGCAGGAGGGGAATTGGTTTGAGTGGCTTTGGGATACCTCATATCCTGCTCTCCGAATGCCCCCTTGAACAACTCTTCACATTGCTTTTCCAAACTTGGAAAGGATCCAGCTGTAAGGGGACAAGGAAGGAAGGTTGGAGCTCTGATTCCCAGCTCCAAGGGAAGAATGTGCTCTCTGACCTTGCAGCTGGGAATCCAAAGCAACCTATTGGCCCCTCAGACAATGTCTAGGGAGCAGAGGATAATTCCCTTCGTACCTTTATTAAAAACTTATTTGATGTGCTGCCTTTATAATAAGACTATGATTCTGAGTGTCTGTGAGCTGATGTTTCTGATGTCTTCCTCTATAGTTTTTCTATGCTATTTCAAGCAGCAAATCTTCAAATGTTATTGTTCTGTTGCTGGCACAAATCATGGTGAGTATTTTAGCTAATTTGGTGAACAGTATGCATCCTTCCTTAGCTATTTAAGTGGCAGTAAGACAGAATGTTTGATGCTTCCTTTATTTTTTTTGCAGGGAATGTATTTTGTGTCTTCGGTGCTTCTGATTCGAATGAGTATGCCTCTAGAGTATCGCACTATCATTACTGAAGTTCTAGGAGAATTACAGTTTAACTTCTACCACCGCTGGTTTGATGTTATATTTCTTGTCAGTGCTCTCTCCAGCATCCTTTTCCTTTACCTGGCACATAAACAGGCTCCTGAAAAACACATGGCACCTTGAGCCCATCATAGTTCTTCAGTGTGTGATGAATGAAAGTGGTGCATTTGATATATTGCTATCTACAGGTGGCTGCTTTTGTGATGGACAGTCAGCTCTTTGGCTCAAATCAAATATTTTACTGTGGACAAACAGAGACAAGATACAGTTCCAGGATACAAGATGCAAACATGATTGTTTGTGGAGATAAACCATAAGAAGGAAAGAGAGGAAAGCTCTTGAACAGCAAAAGAAGCCATTCTACATTGTTTAGTAAATATGATTGGCAAGAGGTCTGCTTAATTGTTTCAACCTGGAAGGCAGTGAATCTGGAGTTGAACATCTAAATGTCTAAATAAACCAAATTTTATAATAATTTACACTAATTTTATGACAGTCCTACAGATTTTATAAATAAGGTACTGAGTGGATGAAATGAAGCATGGTAAACCACTAGTGTTTGCATTTTTCTGAAGAAATTCTGGGTAGCTTGTGGCCAGTCAAGCTGAATAAAGCACACCAGAGGTTTGATCCCATCTTAGGACAGCAAAAACATGTTATCTAACACTAGTACCACTTTATGGTCATTGGGCTGTGCAGCCCTCTTCTGAAAAGGCAAATCTTAATCCTTTTATTGTTTCATTAGACATTAGGCCAATGCTCGCCTGTTTACATTTCGTCTTGCAAGAACAGAACTGAGAACTTGTAGTGGCAAACATATCTCTGTATTATATACCAGGAGTGCCACAAATTGTCTGTTCCTGCACCATATGTTTGTTTGCCTGGTTGTGAATAACACAGTGACCTGATCATTGTTGGTGGAACCTGCAGACTTGATCCTAAGGTTACATATAAACTCCCCATATGGATATAAGGTAGCTTTTTAAAGAATATAAGAAACTAATCACAAATTGTTGTGTTGCCATTAGGCAGATTTTGTTCTGCATTTTTAGGATCTCCAAATAAGCATTTAGAAATTTCCCTGAAAACACATATATGGATGCATGTATATAATGAAATGTACAAGTGGGGCAGCTGATAAGTACAGAGAGCCCTGTCCTGTGTGCAGCAGGAATAAATAGTCAATGACCCTCATCTCCCTACTAATGCTAGCACTTAATGTATTGGTCATGGTAGTGAGGAATTGTGTCTAGATTTAGTACTGATTGGTTTAATTAAAGCATTGGGATTGCTAAGCACAGGGAACCCCTCCACTAATTGAAGTGTCACTGGAAGCTCAGCAGCAGCTTCTCATGCCTCCTCCCAAACATAGGTGACAGAAAGGGGAATGAGGACTGTGGGCTAAGTGAGAGAAGGGGTGAATATAGCATGTGCTTAAGTGTGGGCTGGAGGAAATGTGAATGCATGGATGAAATTGTGCATCTGTAAAAGGTTTAGGCTGGGGATGTTAGGGGTCAAGGGATCTGGCTCTGTGGAGAAGAGAAAGTGTAGGCACAGAATTGGTGTTATAAAATAAATAAAAATCCTGAGCATGATCTTCACATTTATACATTTGAATTACTCAATTTCTTCCAGTTTACTTTTAGTCATAAAGCCTCTCTTGTCCTCTTATGTCAGATGTGTCAAAGCAGTATAAGGGTTGTGGTCAAGTGTTAAGTTGCAAGAGCTGAATATTTCATGTAAGCATTTTATATCTTTCACGAAACACTTCAGATGCAGTAGGACTAGAGTGAAACAATTTATTTTAAACTTTACAGTAAAAGGAGGTATCAAAAAGAGTTAGGACTGTGATAGCACATTAGTGCTGATGGTCCAGCACATAAATTATATTCTACAGCTATTTCAAATTTTTTAAATGATGGGCTACAAGGCCTAAAATTAGTTCGTTCTACATTTCTACTAGATAATGGTTCACAGAATTCAATTCAGTAAATTGTAGTAGACATTATGATAATATAATTAGGACATAATAAGTGTACTTGTGCACAGAAAGTATTGTGTATTAACTTACCATTTTCCGTTAGAAAACTTTTGGCTGCAGTTAACACAGTGACATTCTTATATACGCAGTATAGTGCAGTAGATTGTGGTCTTGTTTGGACAGCGGCTTTACGAAAATTATTAATGAATTTAATGCAATCATTTATTTCCTTGAAACCATTTTAAAACCATGTTTCTGTTAGCCCAATTTTATCCGTGCCTCTTTGATGGAACTCCCACAGTGCTCAGTAGGACTTGGTTTTAAGGAAACATGTGAAGGACTGCAGCCAAAATTTTCTGAACCGTGTTAGAAACCCTTTGCTTCAGAATAGCAGTTACATAGCATTGACTTTCAGGTACAACCAATAGGAAATATTTGATCCGAGGCATCATCACAATTGGGTATCGTCATCTGAGTCTGATGAGGATGAAGAGCTGGCCTAGAGAAGAATACCAGTAAAAGAATAAGAAATGTTGGATCAATAGTTCAGTCTAGTTTAGTGTACTGTCTGACTGTAATCACTTTATGGTTTCAGAGAAAAGAGCAAATAATGGAGTATTGGTAGTAGTTAACCAGGAGCTTTAATCATCTTGTGATTTAAGCTTAGCTTGAGCCCAAGCAGAGTCTAGTTAGCATATCTAAAAGCTCAATACCCAGGTCTAATACTCAGGTCCCATGATCAATCACTTGTAGCCTAATCATATTAATTTGGTAACTGAGTGCTGCTGTTTGCAATAAGACATGCTTAGGATTGTGGCCTTAAGTGAATTCCTTCCTCACTCATGCATCTTTTCTTTAGTAAGGTAACTTACCCTCTCCTGTGGTTCTGGCTGTTCTGCAGCTTGTATTTCTGTGTAAGCAGGGGGGTCCTTACTCTCATCTAACGCATCTGCCATTGATGTGGTAATAGGTATTTTCTGGGACTTGAAGTACTGATAAGCCTTTTTGTCACATACTAGCAATGTTAGCTTCTTGCCACTATCATGGATTCTTGCCACTACATTTTCATAGTCTTCCTTCTCCACATTGACACCATTCACTTCTATTAAGATGTCATCAACATGCAGTCCTGCAGTGTCTCCTGCTCCATCTTTCTCTACCTGCAATGATACTGTGTTAGAAGCAGCCATTCCATTGCTTGATGATGGGTGGCAGCACAGGGTGGGAGGTAATTCAGACTACTAAATTATAGACTCAATTATTCCCATAAAAACTGATATATGTATGACTTTCATAAATAATGTGCAATAGCTTAAAATAAGGGGATTTTATTATTTTAAGATCAACAATTTTAGGGAAGAAATGAAGGTGGCAATATGGTCAATACCATTCCAACAAGTCTATAAAGCTTTTGAATAAAATGCACACTAGGTTAGAATAGTGAGATCTTGAGAGCAGCATCTTTAAAAAAAGATTTTCAAATATCCTATTCTGTGCTCAAAACATTTTGCACACTTTAAGCACAATAATTCTGAAGTTCTACATGTAAGTCTGTTAAAACTCAGTATGTATAATATGGTTGTCCTCTACTAATGTATGGAAACATGAAGCTACACAATACCCATTTGAGAATCTCACTGCTTGAACCTTGGAAAATAATTGGTAATACATTAAGCCAGTTACATTTAGACTAATGTGTAATCTGCTGGATTCTGGAAAAAAAATGCTATTTTTGATAGCACATTTCAAATGATGAAATTCAGTAACAACCTTCCCAAAGCTTGTTGCTATGTATTGTGCTAGGTGCATGATTGCTATGTACATTCACAACACCACTAGCGCAGAAAGGCTAGACAACACGTATTCATATTCTTATCTTTGATGTTAAATTTCTTCTAGTTCATGTATACCTTTTTATCAAAGGTTATTACCTGTTTGATGAACTGGCCAGGCACATCTTTGATGGCATTCAAACGGAAGCCAAATCCATTGGGACCCTTCTCTAGCTTGCAGAGTCTTGGCTTGTGATTTTCTTCTTCATTATGATGTGTTGCCAATGGAACTTCAGGTGGGGATTGCACTGGTTTTTTATGGCAATAGACACATGGAGATATTTTAGCCTATATAATCAAAAGGAAAGCAAAATAAGCATTGCCTTGAAATGTTAGTGGGATGATAAAGCCTCTTGCACACGTTATATGCCAAGTGGGGAACCACCAGCCTACAAGAACTACCCATCAGGCCCAATTTCCCTGGGGCAAGCTAAGCACCAGGGACAATTCTATGGCTTTTTTTTTCTATACAGCATGGTCATTCCCTGCCAATCAGCTGAGTAGTATCAGGGCGGTGGTGAAAGATCATACAACTTTTTAAACCTCTCCTGTCCTGCATGCTGATTGGTTAGAAATAGATAAGCAGTTATGTGAATTCTAGGGATATCTGTTTGAAGATGGGGGTGTGGCACAGAAAAATGGGGTGTCTAGTCCACTTTGGTTCTGCTCAATAGTTGTATGTGGCCTGGAAAAATTCCCTACTCATTGTAGGAAATAATAATAATAATAATAATTCCTATACTACTCATAGCCAAAACTCAAAGTTCTCTGACCAGTTCACAACATTAAGTCACCTTTCCAGATTTCAACCAAGCCCAACTGTGCTTAGCTATACAGAAGCTGTTTTGAGCAAAGATGGTAATTTACCAGAAAATATAACAAATTGTATTCATACCATTCCTTCCATATATCCTGTTAATGTACCAAGCGCTGAAGAGAATTAGGCAAGTATTGGTATGGGTAGGATAAACTGTCCTGATATTTCTGCACTCCAATTTAGAACCATATTACCATTTTGAATATTTATATTCCACCTAGCCTTCATAAAGCAGTTTACATTATAACTAAACTAATACACATTCAAAATAATAAATGCAAACACATACAAATTCATTAAGCCTTAACATAGCAGCATAAAAATATCCCAATTCCAGTTGTCAAAGATAAAATACCAAGCAAAAGCAGTTTTGAAATTTATGACCATTATCAGCAATCAACACACAAGTCTTTAGTAGCTTGTAAAAGAGTGGGCCAAATGCACATTTTGTGGGAGATTCACAACATGTGACTGCTACTGAAAAGGTTCTGTCTCATGTCAACTGAACTTAGTAATTTTGATGGTAAGTCTGAAGTTGGACTTGGAGTTTGGGCAGATTCATGCTGTCGCAAATGGTTCTTCAAAACAACTGCTTCCAAACAATTTAGAGCTTGACTGATGGCTACCAGCACTTTAAGCCAGGCCCAGAAATCTAAGTTATTTGGGTCCCTTTGGAATTCAGGCATGTTACTTACTGTACTATGTAGTGGAACTAGGTGTGATAGAATTTGTTTTCGAGCACAGCTTGTACTAGATATTTGTGACTGGAGATAGGAGAACAGTTTGAAGCAGAACAGTGGTGGGAGAAAGTGGAGACTGGAGATTTCTATAGCAGTGTGATACCTTATCCATAGTGGCTTTTAGTCTGAGTTTTATAGGAGCTATCCATGGTACTGCACTCCACACTAGATTCATCACCATGGAGTACCATGGATAGCTCCTACACCACTCAAAAGCTGCAACTGATGCAGTCTCCTGACAAAGGAGAAGGCACTGCCTATCCGTTCTTCCTCCCTTCTGCCTCTTTTCTCCCTAGTTGGACTGGAAGAGTAGTAAAGAGTTTAAAGAGTTTGGGTATGGGAAAGATGGCTGGGGACTTTTTTGGTGCGGGGGATAGCAGCTGGATGAAGGGTTCAACATATTGTTTCCTTCGGTTCTCTACACGAAACCCCAAAGCCCTAGCACTGCTTTACAGGTCTTCATTAGTGATTTGTACTAAAAAAGAAAAAGGAAAATAAAAAGGAGAAGATAGGGTTGTATTCACTGGATCTGTCGAGTTCCTCTCTTAATGACAATTTGTAGCTATCTTTCAAGAGAGAGGGAAACTTGGATTTAATATGGTACTTTGGCTACTTCAGTCTAGTTGGAAATATTCTACACTTAAAAAAAATCAAGTGCATGCATTGAGGCAATCAGAATTCAGCACCTGGAAAACCTGGATTCTGTGGCTGGCACTTAACACTTGTTTGTGTTTCTTCTGCTACAGCTATTCAGTTTGAGGTAGAAATATCAAAGCAGGAAGCCCCATCTCTGCCAAGCCTTCTCATTTCTCACCTCTGGCCTTTGAATCTTTGTTAGGTATTATTTAACAGACATTTAAGCTTATCCTTGCAATAGAACACCTAAAAGCTTGCCTGTTTGAAGATTTAGAGCCCGGCATTCTCAGAAGTGTTGACTGGGCACAACACTTGCAGCACATAACAGCAGAATAACTGCAACTCTTTGTTCCCACCATTTCACAGCTATTTAAACAATTCCCAAGTTACTCATTCTTACACTCAGGCTGCATTTGTTACCATTTTGTACATGGCATCAGTCTCTTCATCCACCACCAGCAGTGTAGTTGATTGGCCAGACTGCCTGATTTTCTCCACCACCGCATCATGTTCCAGTGTTTCAACTGACTCTTCATTTACAGCCACCAAGATGTCGTTGTCCTTGAGACCTACTTTAGCTGCAGGGCTGCCAGACTCAACGTCCTTAATTAAGTGACCTGTCCTCCAAAAATAAGAAAACTCTGATGCTTAGTAAAGTGCAGCCTCATTATCTAGCTACTGATTTAGTTTCAGGCCATAACCATGGGTTCGGTTTCTTTACACAGGTTGAAGAATTTTCAAAACATGCGTGCATAAGCTGTGCAAATTAATTGCAGAATTTACTGTCATGGATTTTAGTGAAGTCATGATCCATGCTGAAGTTGGCAAAAGACCCATCTAACCCAGTATTCTGGTTCTAACAAGACCCAACCAGATCTTTGGGGCATAAGGCAAGCTATCTTTCCCCTGGTTCCATTTAGCTATAATAGTTCATAGCCATCAATAAGTCTGGGTCAGGGATGGGCAACTTGTAGGCTTCCAGAAGCTTTGGCCTACAGTTCCCATCATTCTTCACCACTGGCTATAATGGCTAGGACATGGGAATTAAGGCCAAAATATCTGGGGGGGGGGCATAAGGTACCCATCTATGGTATTATTTGAAAGGTATATATGCTAGATTTAATATAAGGCCAGTGAGAATTTACCACATAACAATCTTATGAAGAAAAATACAACCAATAATGAACTAAAAGTTTGTATCTATCTTAGTAGCAGTGGTGGCACTAATACATGAAAGATGCTTGAACATTAATGTCACTTAAGGCAGTTTGTGAAACCCACTATGATAATAAACTCACTATTTAGAGGGTCCCTATCTGAAAAGTTGCGAGTGGAGCAAAGGCAAAAATCATGATAGGCAGGGCAACTTGAAGGGACTATTAAGAGGATAACAAATTCATCTATTTACAGTCACAATGGAGAGGAAAAGAGAAAAACAAGACATTTTATTTTGTGCCTAAGGTACTAGAATGGTTTCTGCTATCTCTAGTACTAAGGCAGGCAATTTGAGAGAAAATAGCTTCTGTGTCGCTCTTATTTACTGTAGTATATTATGGATTAAGGCTACTCAAATTACAAGGTGATCAGATATGATCCAGATGATTGCCACCTTGGCTTACAATTCACTAAAACTAGAATGGCTTTGTGGATTCCATTTAACATCCCTGTAACTGCCCTGTGCCACAATGATTCAAGCATCGTTGTTGGGCTTGACTGTCTACTATGGGTTCCACAAATCAGCACACAAATTCAGCAAAGTCCATGATCTAAACTTGTGCCACTCTATGACTTAGATCGTACCTTTCCCGTTTTGTTCCATTCTCAGATAGAATCCATAGCCATTATTCCCTTTTTTGATCTCAAGACTCCGAGGTTTGTGGGGCAATAATTCCAGGCTGGCCAATCCTCTTGTCAGTTCCATATTCAGGCGGTTGTAATAATGGTCACTTTCTTTATTTGACAACAGAAACACAACTTGATTCCCAGACCTTTTCACCTGGGAATACAGACATCATATATCAGAATGGAATGTCTGCCATATTGTGTAGGGTGATAAAGCTGAGGAGAATTTTATGTGCAAAATGCCAACACACAATGATGCTGATGGAATGACGTATTAAAGCATATCTAATTCACACAAAACATACACATTCATTTTTTCTGAAGGCATTTTTACAAGGAGGCTTAAACTGTTCTGCAGTATAGATATGAAGCATGCATTGTGTTACAGCCACACTTAAAATACATCCAGAAATAAGGAAGTCTCAAGTAAGTCCAACCTGTTGTTTAAAACGCTCAGTTGGTTACTCTTCTAGATTTCCCTCCCGTATTTATAACAAACATGGAGCAGGTTTAAAGTCCAAAGTGGGTAAAAAGCTGTGTCATGTCTAATTATGGTAATTTATCAATCCAGGTACTGACTACATTTATTCACTGCCACCTCAGGTCTTCTGTGTTGGAAACAACCATTACAGGTCAAATCCATCAGCTTTCCCATTGCCTCTGATCATCTCAAGACAGTTTTTCTCCTTGAAGCCATTCATGCATTCTGCTGCAGGTCTTTGCTGGTGATAAGACTGACATGTATCCTGTAAGTTACCACCTGGGAAATGGATGCTTGCATTCTCTCAAGGTCACCACTTCTACTTGCCACCTGTATCACTGCCCTAGCATACTAGCTTTAGAATGAATCTAACCAAGGATTTAGGCAGAGGGAGGAGATGGCTTAGGCTGGAGTACCTTCTCCACCACTTCTTCATGAGTGTCATTCTCAACATTCTCTCCATTTACTTCAATTAGGCGGTCATTCGGTTGCACTCCAGCTTTTACAGCTGGTCCTTGTGGGACCAAGTCTACAAGGAACAATCCCGTCTGACCTGGAACAGAGGAGAGAACATGCAGAAATGAAAATGCCCTTGTACTTGTAAGCCTTTTTGTGCTGCTCAGAGAGAATGCAACAATAATAGGCCTATAGACCTAAAGCTATTTGTCCACATAACAGTTGTACTGGCAGCAAAAGTGTGATCCAGCCAGCAATGATGATGTGCCCTTTCTATGCTGCAGGGAAGTCACAAAGTTGTTCATCCATTGTTGCCAAGCCTTGTCTTGTCTGGTACTGCCAGGGCAAGATTATTATAGCAGCTAGTTCTAGTGGCTGAACAGCACCAGCAAAAATAATGCTACTTTTTAAATTTGTTTTTCCATTGTTTATTAGTGTCTGCTATTGCACTTTGAAATGTAATAGGTGGGTATCATATTTGTATCTTTGGATAGTATTCTAAGTAATTTTGGCAAGAAACAGATACATAGCATCTTCATCACTTCCCTTGCTAATTTTTAAAGAAGTGATCATTTATACAGGGATAAAAAAAAAACCAAAACCAAAATAGTTACTGGTTTCAATTCACACCCAATGAGGCCATGTCCAGGGGAGTGGTGTCTGGGAGTCCCTGCAGAATGACCCCCTCCCCACCAGCACCAGGACTTATTAATATTTTTAAGGTGCCCATATTAGCTGCAAAGCCAAAGGGTCAAGTAGTAGTTTGTATGCAAGCTAAATTTGACCCTTTGGCATTCTGCAGGCTTTGCGGACAGCATTAAAACAAAACACTGTTGAAACAATAGCAGGGTTACCTGTATGCAACCTGCAGGCCATGTGTTGCCAACCTCAAACTGCAATGTTTCCTTACAAGAACATTCAGTTGTTGAGTGAGAAAATATCAAGTAAATTTCACGTACATGTGCATTAGCCCTAGAAAATACTGGTTAGCTTGTGGCTGAAATGTTTTGCATGAATGGCTATTTAGAATGTCTGGAAGCTTTGATTTGTTTTTCTATCACTTCAGCAGGGCTTCATAGTAATTCAAACCTAGTTTTGTTTTGCTATCATAAGAACTTTCCATCCAAATAATGGCCTCCAGTAAGTAGTTTCAGAAAATTTACTTTAAGTGATGGACAGTGTGCTGAATTAGCATGTCCAACCTCAACCCTAGATGCAAATCTAGTGCTCATTATATAATGCTAAATGCATGTTACCTAAACTTATAGTTTTTACCTGCAATGGTCTTCAAAGAGAAGCCATAGCTATTTTTTTCCTTCACCAGATAACAAAGCCGGAGTTGCGGAATTGGAACAGATGGCCCATTTGCCACAGGAAGATGATGTTCTGCCTGCTGCTGGGTTGGTAACTTTTGACCCAACTCTTCGAAACAGACTCCTTCCTTTTGTGCATTTTCATAAGAATTTTCATCCAAAACTAGGAATACTACAGAATCCACACATTTCCTAATCAATTCAGTCACCTGTAATGGATCAAAACAAAGGTTAAATGAATTGCAAGAAGCAGAAAAATGCATACAAAAGTATGTTCATATTGAAAAATGAGAAAATTATACAAAATATCTGACAGAAGGGAAGATGTGAAATAGAAGTTCCATCAAGTTTCATCTGATTGTCTACATGAAGACTCTATTTTACCATACAACCATTTTGCAGAGACAGTTTTGTGAAGCAAATATCTCACAGAATATTCACATCAATGATATTAACTGGTTTAATGGTATTTCCCTCTTCCCTAGAAAAAGGGGGAAACTCCTCTAGTTAGTAAAGAAGAATCTGAAGAGACTGTACATGCCCTAAGGCAGGAATGAACAGAGGGAAGATCTCCAGATGTTTTGGAATTCAAAACTGCCTGGCCTTTGAGATCTACACAGGGGGCCCTCCTGTGTGAACGATTTCTTAGGGAGTTGAGAAGGATGGCCGCTAGGATGAGGGCCTTTTCTGCAGCTGCTCCCCTATCTGGAATGCTCTCCCCAAGGAGATTCGCCTAGTGCCTTCCTTACTTTCTTTTCGGTGCCAGGCAAAGACCTTCCTTTAATAACTAGTTCCATAAGACTTCTGTTTTGTATTTTTTGCTGTATTTGATTTTTGTTTTTAATGTGTTATTGGTTTTTATTGTGTTTTTATCTTGTGGTTGTGAGCCACCCAGAGGTGGCACAATTGAGCGGCATACAAATGTTTTAAATAAATAAATCTCCAGAAGCCTTTCTCAGCGTGTTGGCAGCTGAAGCCTAAATGAAACCAAGCGTCTACATTCTGTCCATCCACATTTGTGAACTTTATGACTTAGAGATCACTTCTGTTAGCATAGGCTGGTTTTCCGTTAAGGCCATCCCGGAGATTAAAATGTCCTCTGTACTGGGAAGGGACTGCCAGTTGTTTTAGAGCTGGAATAAGTTGGGTAATAGTTGATGACTTTGCTACTATATTGAATGACTTAGGTTACTGTTGTTTTTTCTGAAGTTTTAAATTAATGTAAGGCACTCTGATTAAACTGCTTTGCTCTGTCCATTTCACTGCCCAGGGACTCCAGTGTTGGACTATTTGGTGCAGTTCATAAATACAATAAATAAATAGTGGAAAGGACCCTAAACTAAATTGTGCTATACCTTTGCATGCTCTTCATTGTCTACAAATATTCCATTGACCCTCAGCACTCGGTCTCCATCCTTCAGGCCTGCCTTCTCAGCTGGACCACCCTTCTCCACATTCCGGATAAGGTGACCCGATTTGAATTTCTCAATGCGCAGACAGAATCCATAGCTCTCCTTTTCTTTTTTGGTCAGTTTACATTCTCTGGGCTGAAGAGATGCCATTTCTGTCAACATAATTGAAATCAAGATATACAGATGTCAAAAGATGCCCATTTGGAAAGATGAGCCCTGTTGAGGGAAACTACTCAAGTCAAATGAAATGAAACAAACAAGAAGTTCATTACATCAAACAAACATGGAAAGGAAGGTAATGACAAAAACAGAGACAAAACTTTCTGCCTGTGGAAAAACGGGATAGCAACGCTTTAAAGGTCACCCCAAAGAAAAGGTTTGACAGCAACATCTTATGCATGTTTATTTTAGAAGCCTCACTGTGCCCAACAGACTTTGGTCCTAATACAAAATGAAGCATCAAACACAACACAGATGCATTGTCTCTGTTAACTGTTCACCTAGAGAGGGAAAAAGGAGAAAGAATGGGATGCACTTGGCATTCTCGGTAATATGCAGTCCTTAAGCAGCGAATTGGATTGAGAGAGAGCATGCAGTGAACTGAAAGAACAAAATCAAAACTCTTGCTGTAGTGCACATAGCTAGGCCATGTCTGTAAGAACTGGCTTAGATTTTCTGATTTCAGATGCTGAATGCTTTGGGGACAGAAAAGGGGATATTGAATAATGAAGATGAATTCCATTTGCAGAGATGGTTTAGAAGGATAAATTGTTAACTGAATTGGCTACAACATGTGAACCAAGCTTCTTGAAATAAGGAGATTACACATATATTACAGAGATTATTAAAATATAGAGATAACACATAGCATTGTTAACATATTGAGAGAAAAAAAGTTATAACTGTATCTCTGTATTGTATGCAGAAATTCACACTAGATTCAGGCTTCCTCTACAGTGTAAACAAATATAAGCTGACTCATCAAGTAGCTACTACAATTTTATTGATTTATTTATTACCTACATTTATAGACCCCTTTCCACAGAGATATCAACACTATATCTGTGTTCGTGAGCTTCACTAAATCCTGCATCACATTGAAAATGAGCTCCAGAACATTTTGAAGCATCAGGTCACAGGAATGAACTCACTGTAGAACAGGGGTCTCAGACTCAACTTACCTGGGGGCCGCTGGAAGTAGAGTCCAGGTGAGGCTGGACCGGATCAAGTATTCCACCACCACGGTGGTGGTGGGCCGCTCATCCCACGTCCGGCCCGGACGCCGCCGGCGCTTTGAAGGCCACAGGCCCCTCCCCCATGTCCCACCTGTCCCAGCAATTGGCCCGTGGGCTGCGAGTTTGGGACCCCTACTATAGAACTTTGCAGGCAGATCAATTTGCCACATCAGTACAGATTGGCTTCCAAGGATTTGTCAGATTTTTGGCCATACCCTGTTGTGAAGATCTCCTTCCCAATAAGTGCAACTTTGCCTAAAGTCTTATTGTCAGGTATTGTAAGTCATCATCAGAATTTCCAGGGGCGCACGGTTCTGTTCCAGGGCAGCCTAGGTCCCTCCACGCCTAGTGGCGTTCATGTACTCACGGGGCAGCAAGGGTTCATTGTGTGCTCTGCACCTGTGATCATATGATTTCCCCTGCCCCTAACACTCATGAGCATGTGTTAGGCATGGGCATGCTCAGAAGGAATTGCAGAGGAATCAGAAAAGGTACTGGGGAAGGTTTTTCTTTACTTGAGGTGGAGTTAAGGATAGGGCAGAAACAGTCACTTAAATTCATTCCATCTTTTTAAATGTCAGTACAAAGCAAAAGTTCAGGCCTTCCTATGTGCAAGGACAAGGGACATGTAAAGACCACAAATAAGTGTTGGCCAGGGAGCCCAGCAAAAATTCGGTCAAGAAGAACAGTACAGGTTAGCAAGTGCATTGCAGTCCTGGTGCTTTGTTCTAACAGTGAACTTTGCTCACTCCTACTTTCTCATGGTACATTGCAATCTCGATGATGTAGTTAATATGTAAAGAGATTATGGTTAATGAGTGGGAAATTGTCCTTGGGTCAGAAGACTGGACTATGTGGCAGTCACGTTTCCTTCATCTAGGAATCTTTTCATTCTATCTCCAGCTTGGAAGTATGCCAGAGAGCTGTCGTTGCCATTCCCCAATGACATTATTTAAGAAAATGGCTCACACTCCTTTCTAAAGTCCCATTCGCTACCACTTCTAACTCAAGCTAGCTGTCATACAACTGCTTGATTGTATTATTGACAGGCACTTGACATATACAGAATTCTGAATGGTACAGAATGGCATATCATTCTATATAGAATTACAGAATGGTAGAGTTGGAAGGGGCCAGAAGGCCAACCTGCTCAGTGCAGGACACCATTTAGGCTGGATAAATGTAGAGGTGGGAACAACGGTGCCTCTGTTGGCCTTGCCCCATGCTCTGCATATGTTCAGCATAAATCTGTGGGAAAGTTTCAATGCGATCAAAAGCCCTTGAACAGGCAGGGTTTCCTATTGCATATAGTCTCTTTCGCAGGTTGTACCTGTTGGGTAAAGCATGTGGCATCAGCAAACATGATCCCAATTCCCTGTTTACAGATGCCCAATAACACGTCTAAGATATTCTTATTTTTATAGATAAATTTATAGACAAACATAAAAGGTATGTATTGCATCTTATTTTTATGTATGTTTTATATATGCATAAAATATGATGCAATACTTATCTTTTACGTTTTTAGAACTAAGAAAAGTACACATTTCAAGTTGCATAATTACATGCAGGACTGTAGCTAGTGAGGGAGGAAACAAAAATGCTCAATATCTCAATATGTAGAATTCTTTTACTGTATAATGATTAAGTTTCTGGTCCTCAGGGAGTTATGTCAAAATGATCTTACCAAAAACTGAGAAAACAAATTAAGAAAATAAAATTCTTAAAAATTCCACTTCTGGAAAAGAAGAGGTATCCAAAGATTTCATACCTGCCCCTGTAGAGCTTCTTCCTCCGTATGTTCTTCTGCAGTCTCTCAGGTTGCTGTATCAGTAAGCATAGCTCTAGTCTGAACGAGAGACCTAGCAACCTAGTCTAAAGGTTGCTTTAAAAGATGATTTATTTAACCAGGCTTCATTGTGCATATTGGACTCCTTGATAACCAACTTTCTCCCCACCCTTATTCCTCTCAGCCGCCCTTCCTTGGCAACTTTCCCTGGTAGTTCAGATTGTTCCAGATGTTGAGATCCTCACACTGAGCACAGCCATGTCCTATCTGCTACTTTGCGATGGTTGACATCCCTCCCTCCTGTTTACTCAAGGAGTTGAGAAGGGTGAAAGGGCACCATTATGAAACTGAAGACATATATCAAATTTCTCAAATTTCTCTTGTAACCCAGTAATATATCAAGCACATCACTAATGAATATGATGCAGATGTAACACCACAAGCCAGTATCTGCTGTAACTGAGATCCTAATCAGTTTAAGCAAGGAATGCACCCACATGCATTCATGATTATCCTTCTGAGATAGGATAGCTCGACTCCTTGGTACACGTATATGATCAAAGCATGCCCCAAAGAGAAGACATTAGCTATCTCAGATCTACAAATACTAACCCATTAGTCAAAACAAGACTGGTGATGGTCCAAGCTAATACATATTTGTACGATTTCAAGTTTTTATAAGCAAATCCAATATTTTAACAGTTCTTACCTTGAAAGTGTAAGGCCTGCAGCAGTTTCTCTCAGCTGCAAAGCCTATATTTGGTTCCAAAACTATCCCACTGCTTGATAAATCCACACCTACTCTCAGTCCCTTTCAAGCAAAGCTACTGACCTAATTCCCATGGAGTACCTGTAAACATTTAGGGCTTATCCAACAGAGACTTTAACTGGCTTATTGGCCAGTTCTCACTGGCAGCCCTGGGAAATGCAGTTCTGTAAAGAGAGTGAGATATCTCTAGCCATAGATTTATAACTGTTAGACTCACACTTCCAGGCCATCATTTTTGGGTCTCCCCCTCCCCTCTTCTCCACCCTTGAAGTTATAGTTGCCTATATAAACAATAGAAGATTGCTGCTGCTGCTGCTGCTGCTGGGATGGGACTACATTCTCACCTCCGCTCCACAAGAAAAAGAAAATAGAAAAAGAATGACAAAAGGACCCAAGAAGTCCACTCTACAAGAGTACTGTACCAATCTAGAATTTCCAGGAAGCCTCACTTGGTATAAAACCATTATACCTTGCACTGTTTATATGTCCTTTTATGGTGGAAAGGCTACTTAATTCCATTAAAGTATAAAGTGTTCTGATAATAGAAAGAAGTAGGCCTGAAAAAGCTGTGTTGTGTAACGCTACCAAAGAGTAAACAAGAAGCAAAGAATAAACAAGAAACAGGCAGTAAAATGTTCAGAGCAGAGACTGATGCTGAAGATATTCTTCCTAAATTAGGAAATGAAACATGATTTAAAGAGAATTCATGTTTAGCAGCATTCTTCAGATATTTCTAAGAAAGGTCTAATTAGCAGTGGTTTAAACTTACCAGATGCTTCTTTAACCACCTAGTGAACGGGTTTACTGTCCACACCAGGCATCTTGGCTTTCCTTCTTTGCTCCCTGTTGCCAATGTCTTGCCATCAAGTGCTGAATGCAGAATAAAAATGTGAAAGGCCATCTGAAGTCGGACTAAGCAATGTTCAGGTTGAATGGGTGCATTTTAGAAATATGGAATTAAAAAAACATGACGGGCTGCATTATATTATTTTGAAATATTTTTGGATATGGGTCACTTCACAATCTAATAGTAACTATGCTGAACTATCTACATGCGGCTGTTGAATAGCCTAATATTGGAACTGTATCCAATTTGTTAATCATAGCCAAAATATCTACTGCCTCCAATTAGAAGAAATCCATTGCTCCATCAAAGGTCGAAATGTAATACAGAATCTGTGACATTGCAAGTAAGTTGAAATGATGACTTCCAAAGTTAAGAACAAGGGACATTTCAATGCACGTTCATTTTCAGCTGACTTAAATTGCAATTTTTGGGAATGATAAATTCCAGGCCAATGCTCTAATGTATGCATATATGTAATATGCATGTATATTTGTACACATCTGCATATGT